GGATGTTGAACAGTTCTTTTTTTTTTTAATTTATTTATTTATTTATTTATTAAAGATTTCTGTCTCTTCCCCACTGCCGCCTCCCCTTTCCCTCCCCCTCCCCCAATCAAGTCCCCCTCCCTCGTCAGCCCAAAAAGCAATCAGGGTTCTCTGCCCTGTGGGAAGTCCAAGGACCACCCACCTCCATCCAGGTCTAGTAAGGTGAGCATCCACGAAACTGCCTAGGCTCCCACGAAACCAATAGGTCCAGTAGAATCAAAAACCCGTTGCCATTGTTCTTGAGGTCTCAGTAGTCCTCCTTGTCCGCTATGTTCAGCGAGACCAGTTTTGACCCAGGCTTTTTCAGACCCAGGCCAGCTGGCCTTGGTGAGTTCCTGATAGAACATCCCCATTGTCTCAGTGTATGGGTGCACCCCTCGCGGTCCTGAGTTCCTTGCTTGTGCTCTCTCTCCTTCTGCTCCTGATTTGGACCTTGAGATTTCAGTCCGGTGCTCCAATGTGGGTCTCTGTCTCTGTCTCCTTTCATCGCCTGATGAAGGTTAATATTCAGGAGGATGCCTATATGATTTTCTTTGGGTTCTCCTTCTTATTTAGCTTCTCTAAGAACCCGAATTATAGGCTCAATGTCCTTTATTTATGGCTAGAAACCAAATATGAGTGAGAACATTCCATGTTCCTCTTTTTGGGTCTGGCTTATCTCACTCAGGATGGTGTTTTCTATTTCCATCCATTTGCCTGCAAACTTCAAGAAGTCCTTGTTTTTTACTGCTGAGTAGTACTCTAATATGTATATATTCCATACTTTCTTCATCCATTCTTCAATTGAAGGGTTGAACAGTTCTTAAAAGTGTATCTCAGCCATTTGATATTCTTCTCTTGAGAATTCTGTTTAAATCTGTACCCCATTTTAAAGTTAGATTATTTGGTATTTTGATGTCTGGTTTCTTGAGTTCTTTATATATTTTGGAGATCATTCCTCTGCCAGATGTGGGATTGATGAAGATCTTTTCTCATTCTGTAGGCTGCCATTTTTGTCTTATTAACAGTGTCCTTTGCCTTATAGAAGCTTTTTAGTTTCAGGAGGTCTCATTTATTAATTGTTCTATTCAATGCTAAGTCCCACTTTTTCTTCTATCAGGTACATTGTGACTGGATTTATGTTGAGGTCTTTTATCCACTTGGACTTGAGTTTTATACAGAGCAATAGACTTGGACCTATTTGCATTCTTCTACGTGCTGACATCCAGTTTTATGTCAGCACCAATTGTTGAAAATGCTTTCTTTTTTTCCATTGTATAATTTTGGTTTGTCAAAAATCAGGTCCTCATAGGTGTGTAGATTTGCATCAGGTTCTTCTATTAGAATCTGTTGATCAACCTGTCTGTTTTTATGCCAATACCATGCTGTTTTTATTATTATAGCTCGATAGTAGAGCTTGAAGTCAGGGATGGTGATGCCTCATGGCAACATTTAATTGGAGTTGGCTGTTTACCATTTCAGAGGCTCAGTACATTATCATCATGGCAGGGAACATGGTGGCACACAGGCAGACATGGTGCTAGAGGAGTAGCTGAGAGTCCTACATCTTGCAGGCAACAGGAAGTCACTGAGACACTGGGCAGTATTCTAAACAAAGGAAACCTCAAAGACCAACTCTACAGTGACACACTTCTTCCAACAAGGACACACCCACTCCAACAAAGCCACACCTCCTAATACTGTCACTCCCTGTGAGATTATGGGGGCCAGTTACACTCAGACTGCCACAGTGTGGTGTCTAAAAATCTTAGTTTTAAAATTACAGCTATAATTTTAGCTATGGGCTTCAAGGGAAGGCTGTGCTTTTGCTTCCACAGGAAACAAAAAGCTATGCATTCCTTCAAAATAAATAAATATCAGAGTTGATTGGGGGAACCTCCTGTGGACTTAGGCTGCAGACCTGAGGAAGGAAGCCAGGAAAGACTGCAGGACAGGTGACATGTATGGCTGGTCCCTCTGCATGGGAATAGCTCTGAGACTGGATGAGGCATGATAAATCTTGTTGGCTACAGAGTCCTCATGACTTGTTATTCATGCCATTCTTTCATATGGCAGGGAGAGAGATTTATATTACAGTTTGGTTATGAAGTCCAAACAAACTAATAGAGTTGACAGATAATCTTTTACCTACTTAAACATAGAGCTAAGAATCATCTTTAATTGATTTGTGTATACCACACATTCCATACTTGTGCTAATGCAGATATATATGTTACCTTTAAAAGTTTGTGTTTTCAAAAAGAAAAGAAAGGACCAGACACCAATGAAAACAAGTATCCCAAGTGATCCAGCCTCTCAAAGTACCTCTGTTGCAGTTTCTTCATATTCTACATCCAGAACAACTTCAAAGCTGCTAGCCGACGGCTGTGGGGAAGAGACAGAAATCTTTAATAAATAAATAAATAAATAAATTGGTTATAAAAATTGAAAAAAAAATAAAGATAATAATAATAATAAAAAAAAGCTGCTAGCCGAGATGCTCCAGCCTCACTGAGACTACTCCATCCAGATCTTTAGATAAGCCATACTGTTATTTACCGTGCACGAGAATGGGCAACAAGTAATACAAAACCCTCTTTAAGAATTTTATTAATAAAGACTAGGAGAAGGGAAAGGAGGGAGTGCTCAGGCCTGTCTGGAAGAAACGTGGCACGAGAGGGAGTGGGGCGGGCTTGTCTGCTTACCTCTACCAAGGCTCAGACAAACAAAGGGCTGATCCTGACCTCAAAGTGACTGTAGACTACAGTGCTCTCCACCAAACCTTACACTGCACTGAACTCCTGTCTTATGTTCCACTCTAGTGCTAGAATTAAAGGCATGTCATTCTAAGTGCTGGGATCAAAGGTGTGAGCTGTTTTCTTTTAGAATGATTCATTCTCAGGTAGCCTAGGGTGGCCTTGAGCTCACAGATGTCCATCTGCCTCTGTCTCCCAAGTGCTGAGTTTAAAGATATAGACACCACTGCCTGTTCCGTATACCTAGTTAGTAACTTATGTGGCTTTGTGTGTGTGTGTGTGTGTGTGTGTGTGTGTGTGTGTGTGGCTAACTAATAGCTTAGTGTGTGTGTGACTTACTAGTGACTTAGCTCTGCACTCTGGTCTTCAAGTTCTTTTTATTAAAATACAAATAAAATCTGACTCCCAGGATCTTCTGTGCCTGTGCTTTTTAAGTCTCTGGTGGAGTTCTGAATCTGGGCATCTTTTCTTTGCGATTCAGATGTGCTTCCTACTCCTCTTGGTGTGCACACCTGCCAGTCCCACTTCTGCAACCTTGCTTTTAACCCTCGGGATCACTTTGTATCTCCCAGATATTCAAGAGCTGAATTTTGCTTTGTGAGCCAGTCGGAGACCTTCTAGCAAATATTCATTTTTATTGTAACACAAATAATATAAGCCATATAATGCTAGAACCAAACATTATAAGCAAAATAATATAACAAAGACAGTATTACTAAAATGTGATAATATTTTATAAAGAAAATAGTATAATTAGTATAATTTTAGTATGTAACATAATTTAATATGTAATATATTAATATTTCAATAATATAGCTAGAATATTACAATCAAAATAACCAAACTATTACCATCAAAGTAATATAAATAAAATTAGAAAAATAATATAATTATAGCCAAAAGAGTATAACAAAAATAATAAAAGCACTGCTGGGGCACATCCTCTTCCTGGGTCCTTCATCGTGAAGGTATAAGGAGAGCCTTGAGTGGAATGTGGGATTTTACAGGTACTTGTATCGTAGGCAAGAGCTCTTGTGTCTTGTTGAGGGGAGGAAATGGCAGGGGTGAGCAGGAGCTACACGGGGAAAAAGAGGGAAAAAAAACCTGTGGTTAGGATAGAGGTGAACCCCTGTACATCATACCAAAAGTTCACAGTGGAAAAAACTAGGGAAGATCATGTCACTTCTCAGTGTCTCCAAGTGACAAAACCCGAGTAGCCGGGACTACTGCTACTGGATTTGGAATCCCGAGATCCCTTCTCTATGTGTATGTAGTGAACTTTGCCATTCTAGGAAAGTGTTGGGGTGAGGTAAACTTTCCACTAAAATGGGTTTATCTTATAAGGCAGGGTCCCTGATTTCATCTTCACACTGACACTCTTGATCCGCAGGGACAGATGGGGCTGTAGCATGGCAGGGTATTTAGTGGGTTAAATGAGCACAACCATATGCCTGGAAGAAGAGACACTTAAGCATTTCACTAGAGTTCTCTCCCCACTTGGAGTAAATCCAAATAGAAAATGAAATTTCAACTGAATGAGGTGCGCATTGGCGGATGATGCCAGACAGGGTTCTTTCTGCTGTGTCATGGTTGGGACTTGCTCTCAGAATCCCCTGCCCACTCCCTCCTTTTCCTTCCAAACACTCTCACTGTTTACAGAGACTAGTGATCCCATGACTTCATTTGTCCGTAGAAATGTGGCCTGATCATGTCTTTCATGGACCCAGCTCAGTGAACCTCCCTTCATGTGGAAGCTAAACATACAGATCCTAAGAGCATAGGTGGGAATTTCTTTTCTCTCCCAAGAGCCACACAGTGAGAGTCTCTTCTCCAGAGTGGATTACTCCAGTGTTTCTCAACTAGATATATTTTCACATATTACCTGAGCTCAAACAGGGGTTCTTTCCTAGACAACGTGAGTTCAATTTTTTTTCCTGCTAATTAAAAACACACACACACACACACAAGAAAAAGGGATGCGCAAATTGGAACCTTATGTCAGGACTTGCATGGTCCTGTGATGCAGTCCAGTTGGAGTATTGGGATTTAAGCTCTTTCTGCAACTCAGCAGTGCTCACATGTACATATGCTGCCCTCTAAGAGAAAACTCCTTCTCAGGTCCACATATGATTAGATCACAGCTTCAGGAACCCTGGCTAGTCCCTGCGTGTGGAGCCCCTGGCCAGGACCTCCACTAACCTGCTGACGGTCCCCAGGCCTGGGAACCTAAGGGGCGCTCTGTCGCACCCGGCTCCAGACCCAGTGGTGTGGGTTCTGGTTCTGGATCTGAAAGGGAAATGAGAGGTGAGTCCAGGAGGATGGACCCATCCTTGTTCTTCTCTGGGCAGCACCCTGTCTACCCACTCCCCGGGCTGATCCCTGGGAGACCTCTTCACACTCCTGTCGTGTGACCCAGGCTCGGTAATCTATGACTTGGAGGAACTCCCCCTGCAGCCTTTGGAAGTCCTTGTATAAGTCCTGCCATGTGTCTGTGCCCAGCAGGAATTGAAAGATGCTCCTCTTGGATATGGGGTCATCTTCTTCCATGTCACAGGCGATGTAGCTGCCACAGAAAAGGGGAAGTGCATATTCCTAACGGTGACAGTGGAAGCCAGGTGGGGGAGCATGAAGTTCTCGAGATAGGGTGGGGAAGCAGTCTAGACCATCACAGGGCATCCTGGTACAATGCCTGCAGGACCCATTCACTTTTCATCCCAGGAAAAGGTACCTTCTCTTTACTCATTCTTAATACTTTACTGATGCCAAGACCCTCTCTTCCCTCCCTGGCCTAGTAGTTCCTTGAAACTCAACAACTCTACGACTGAGGGTCAACACTTAGTCCTGATGGGGGTGAGGACAAATTGGTTCCCTCGTGATGCTCACAGGGCCAGAAAGAAGTGGATCCTGTTGTAGAGATGTCCAGGAAGCCCGAGTCGGCCAAAGTACTCCACCACCATGGACAGCAGGTACTGTGTGGACAGAGAGCAGGTGAGGGGAGGCAGGCAGTAGACAAGAGGGCAAGACATCTTAGTGGGGCCTGGACCTTGTGCAGCTGATCATTATACTCCAAATTATACACAGAAAGGGGGAGTGGAATACATTTGCTTTGTGGATGTGAGCTAATTGGAAAACCAGGAAGGAATTTGGGGGATATAATAGGGATGGGCAGCAAGTCTCTGTTGCCTCTGTCCTGGAGAGCAGTCCTGGGTTATCCTGGCCTAGACCAGTCTTATGTTTTCTGTGTATCCCTGAGGGCAGTGACTGCAGAATATCTGAGGTTCCAGATACCTTGTCGGTCATTCTGAAGAAAATGTCAGCTGCCAAGAAGTTCTGGACCACAGGATCCTCTGCAGAGAAAGCAAGCATGAGAGAGACTTGGATCTCCCATCTGGTGGACCATGTGTGCGATTGTGGGGGGATCTTTGTCAGCAATGTATGGCCGCCAGACCTCTCCCCCTGAGATGGATACCGAGAGGAAGCAGGACCTCTCTTAAGGTCTTAATCTTCCTATCAAGAACACAGTTTGTTCCTGTCATTGACCCATCCATGTTGCTTTTACGTGTTGATGTTAGTGTTGTTGATTCCTGAGCTTGGTCAATGATGGCATTTGATACTTTTCTTCACTGAAGGAATTTAACATGTTTCTCAATGTTAAATTTTACTTCACTCAAAACCTTAGGTGTGGCCTAGATCACTACCCCACTATCTTCCCGTTTGCCATATTGTGACTGAACCAAGTTCCCCTGCTCTGTATGATGACTGACTCCTTGGGCAAAGATGGAAAGTCCATAGCTCCATGCTTACAGCCTCCCAACATCCCTCTAGCATGGCTCTCCTCTCCCTCTGAGGTAGGGACCAGATTCCCCTGCTCCGCAGGAATTCATTTGTCTTTGAGGTCCTTCCTAGAGGCACCATTCTTTTAAGTAGACTTGCTGGTGTGGGGTGGAGGTCCTGTGTGTGCTTCACCAGCTGCCAGGCAAATAACAGGTGCACAAAATGGGTCCTCTGCAATGTCCCTGACCCCCAGAGGGCGCTGTCTGAGAGAGTGCTCAAAGTGTTAACACATTCTGTCCTCTACCAATATGGCAGCCCACAGCCACATGTAGGACCTGGACACAGAATCACAGCTGATGAGACTGGGGAACTGAACGTCCATCGTCTGTTTACTCCATTAACACAAAGTAAACAACTGCCGATGACTGGTAGATGCTGTACTGGGTAGAGCACCTGGGTGCTGTTCACAATCTGCCACACTTGGTCCCAGATCTATGACCTGATACCACCTAAAGAGACCTTTGTGCCTTACTAGTGCCATAGAGATCTCCTGTCTTTTTGCTGTCCCACCTCTAGGTGCCATGGCCTTCAGATCCTTTCCTGTGAAGCTGTCAAGCACTAAGAGCAAATTTATTTTGTAAATGTTTAGTTTTTTTGTTTTGTTTTTGTGTCTCCCTGCTAATGAATGACCAAAGCGGGGTTGAGTGACATTCCTTCATGCTCCAGTCTCTACCGTCTTGACTGTTGGATTTGGTCTATGAGTAGAGAAGCACCATTACTTCAGTACCCTCATATGAGCCTGGTTTCTTCTCTTGAAGGACTTGTCAGAGAAAGGAGAAAGCTCCAAAAAACAAGGGGGCCTTCATCTGTGTTACCTGGAGACCCATGAGCATTCTGGGGAGGTTTTAAGTACAGCTCCCTACACCCTATTCTCAATTTGAGAATTGGCCCTAATATCCAATTCTGAGTTCAGAGAACCCACGCAGAATTCGGTAGAAGGCTTCAAGATCCTCAGGCCGGTAACTGGGTCTTCTCTTCTTCTTTACTGTGAGCTTTGTTCCCTCGATATGGTCTACAGTCCATATGCTCCTCTTCTTCTTCCTCCTGGTGAACTTCAGCTCTGAGGCAGCTCTGGGGGTAGCCTCAGAGGTGGATATGCGTGAGGCCTGCAGTCTGCTTTCCTGGGTAGCTGTGGGCACAAAACCTTCTCAGTGTGGATGGACAGTGAGAACCCTGGTCACTTCCTGACCATTACTTAGGAACTGGCCTCTTTTTGAGAACTGAGTGACAAGTAGTCACTCAGCTGCAACTGGCTCTTCAAACAGAGACCACAGTGTCCAGGGAAGATGGGCACATACCTGCTTTGACATCCGCCTGTGATTTTGTCTTCTGGACTCTCTTGCTCTTGGCCTGCTGCTCAGGGACATCCCCTGGAGAGTCATCACTGGAGATAATAATGATGTTGTCTTCTGGATCTGCAGGAAGAGGAGATCTCATGTGACCACAAGAGGGACAACCTGGACATGGCAGAGTTTTTCCCTTCTCATAATTCCATGTGACATTGAAGAAGTCTGAGAGGAATGGCCTTCACTCATCCACAAAGGAAACTAGAAATTGAGTTACTATGTACTATTTTTTTTTTTTTTTTGCCAAGCCCCAGATGATCTCTGGTGCCTCTTTTTCTGGATCATTCTGTCTATGAGAAACCCCTATCAGAAGAAGAATTTGTTGATCTTTATCTACCATAGCTACAAAGGTGACCAAGAAAATGATGTCCAGGTTCACCAGAACACCCCTTGCCATGGCCCTGTACGAGTGGATTTAGGACAGCTTGTGTAGATGGAGGGACTCTGCATAGTGGCCATACTGTATCATTCATACTGGGACATGAATGCCAACGGGTATGCAGACACATACCAGCCATGACATTCTCCAGTTTCCTTTTTTTTTGTCCACTGCTGTTCTTGGATCTCTGTTCAGGACCATCCCCTGGAGAGTCATCGCTGGAGATAATAATGATGTTGTCTTCTGGATCTGCAGGAAGAGGAGATCTCATGTGACCACAAGAGGGACAACCTGGACATGGCAGAGTTCTTCTCTTCTCATAATTCCATGTGACATCGGAAGAAGTCTCAAGGAATGGCTTTCACTTGTCCACAAAGGAGACTAGAAATTGAGTTACTATGTACTATTCTTTACCAAACACCAGCTACTTTCTGGATCCTGTTTCTCTATATCATTGTGTCTACAGGAAACCCCTATGGAGACAGAAGAATTTGCTGATCTTCTATCTACCATAGATACAAAGGTGACCAAGGAAATGATGTCCCGACTCATGAGGACATCTTTGTTATGGCCCTGCAAAACTTGATTTTGAATAGTTTGGGAAGATGGAGTGATTCTGCATGAAGGGCAAGCTGTTTCACTCATGCTGGGACACGAATGCCAAGGGGCATGTAGGCACATACTGGTCATGACAGTCTCCAGTTTTCTTTTTCTTTGTCCATTGTTCTTTTTGAAGTTCTGGTCAGGGGCATCCCCTGCAGAGCCATCCATGGAAGTCCTCATGCTGCTGGCTTGTAGAGCTGCAGGAAGAGAAGACCCGCACATGAGCCAGGCCTGCTTTGCCAGCGCTGGGCTCTTCCCTTCCCACACACATTGTGGAATTTGCATGTAACATCTGAAGATATCTAAGAGGTTTGTCCCCTAACTTCCATATGCACTAATGTACACAGGTGGCTTAGAAAGAGTTCCTGTGTACCTTTTTTTGCCGAGCAAATACTATCATCTTGCACGTCTTTCCTTGTGTCATTTTGTTTGCAGGACTCATTTGTGGATAGAGTTGACATCTCTGATCTTCTGTCTGACATAGTTATAAAAAGTAAATAAGAAGTTACCTCTTCCTCACCAGGACACCATTGTTGTGCCCCTGTAGAGCTTGACTCAGGCTGGGGAAGAGGGTGGGGCTAGGTGTCATGGCCATGCTGATTCATCCTTCATTCATCTGGGGACCAGGCTTCTAGCACCAAGGGTCATACACACCTGTTTTCACTTTCCCATGTCCTTTTTTCTTTTGACCTTTCATTATGTTATGACGCTTCAGTGTGGTGCCTGAGGCGGCTGTTGTAGTTATAAAGGAATCCTGTCTTCTTTGCTTTCCCGAGCAAGATAGGGGCCCACCCTGATTCCAACCCCAGGCTGTTTCTGTGTATCCTTTTTCTAAAACAAAATAATAATAAAAAAAGTTGTAATAGTGGTTACATGGTTAATGGTAGAAGATTTTTCTTTTGTGGTAATGAGATTTGTACATAAGGGTTTCACACATGCTGGGGAAGTTCTCTACCATAGAACTATAACCCATAATTATTGATTCCTTAAGAAATTAGAATTTAATCACTACATAAAGAAGACCCTACTTAGTCTTCGTAATCTGTGAGGTAAGGAAGTTCACCACTTGACTGCCTTATACATCAGAAGGTAATTTCTGGATTTGCCTAGTGTGTGTCATTGGCTCTGGGTTTGCCACTGTAGATTTTTCAATGGTAAGAATGGCTTCTTCTTCATGTTCCAGTAGGCTCAGGCTGAATGACTTCACACACCTGTTTCCTTTGTCATCCCTTTTTCCATATATCTATGAACCACTATAAATTCATAGGCAGTTAAATCTCCCTAAACATGTAAATCCTGTGCCCCACATCATCTTCCTTATGGCTGCGTCTTAACAGCAGTCTTTGGTAGACAAGATTCTTCTTGAACACCCTCCCTGTTTTTATTCATCTCCCCTTGTTTACATTACTCCCTGTTCTCTGTTTCTCTTAATCTAAAACCTGTTTCCATTCTCATCATATCACCTGTTGTCCTTCTGGAGATTCCCAGGGGAATCTCTGACACAGCTCTAAGACTCTCTGAAGGAAGGAGTTGAGCCCTGACATTCAGTCTAGCTTAGCATTGGGTGACACTCACCTGTGTGAGCACCTGCTCCACTCTCTCAAGCTTTTGACCCTAAAGGCTTTCTCAGAGCTTACCCAGATCTCAGTCTCACAGCTGTAAGGAGAGCACTGGCTGTTGCCAAGTGAGCTCAAACATTCTGCAGACACTGATGACATCACACCATTCCACCAGAACTTATTCTCTGATCTATTAAAGAAACATACCCAAGGAACAGTCCATGGACATCCTGAGTATAGGACTGGTGTGTCCTCTGAACACTGAAATATTCTTCTCTTTTCCCACTGCTATCATCTTTATAGACTTCTCCTTTTTCCTTAGATTTTGGTGTATTGATACAAGTTTAAAGTTATCTTTTCCTGTAGTATATGTATATTTCTATTGCTGTTTGGTGTTTTGTGCTATATAACTCATTTAAAACCAATGTTTACTTAAAAATACAGATTAATAGTCTTCTATAATAGTCAGACTTAAAGTCATATTACGTATATTTTCAATGTCATATACAGATATATTTAGATAAATAGTTGATCTTCAATGACTTACAGAATATGGTATTGTTTTGTAACTGACAGCTTTTCATGACAATGATACATGTCTGTTACTGGCAGTACCAATCTATTTCAGAGATGATGATGGACATTGAATAATTCCACATGGAGTTTGTTTTCTTCATGGTAAAATCTAGGTATTTGGGCAAAGAAATTGCCCTTGCCTCAATTCCTGATAGTATACTTCCCAAACTGGACCAGTAGGACAGAAAACAAGGCATCTGCCAAACTTTGCCAAGACAAGGTAAGACAGTCCTTTCAAATTTATTCCTTCTCAGAAATGTCTGTCAGATATGCTAGACCTGTAGGCCAAAGTTGGATGTTTCAACTTTTTAGAAAAACATAGGATGACTGTCCATGCTGCCAAATATCCTTGTGTTAGGCAAGAGTTCACCATTCTGGGTCTTTGGCAGAGTTGAAGACTAAAAAGCCATAGTTAAAGTTTTCTGTAGTTATAATAAAAGTTAAATTAGGCATAAATGTTTAAAGTCACAAAGATAAGATAAATAATTTTCTCTAATTTTGCCAAGTGAAAATGAATTGTCTATTGTAACTGTTGTTCCTACTTAATAACTGTTTTGTTATATATAGTTTTACCATGTTAAGGTTAAAACCCACCTTAGACAATAATGGTGATGAAACACTGTCTAATAATCCTTCTATACACCATGAATATGTATGACTCTGATTGGTTAAATAATGAAGATGACTGGCCAATACCTGAACAGGACAAGATTAGGTGGGAGAGGCAAACTGAGACTGCTGGGAGGAAGAAGGGTGGAGTCAGGAGTTCCCAGCAGATGCAGAGAGAAGCAAGATGGGCATGGTGTACTAAGACTAGATACCAATCCACAAGGCATAGCACAGATAAGAAATATGGGTTAATTTAGATGTAAGAGTTAGCTAGTTATAAGCCTGAGCTATTAACCTAATTAATATTAAGACTCCATGTTGAATATTTTACAAGGAACCATCATGGTTCTCTCTCTCCGTTTTGTAATTATAAACTGAATGGTCCATTAGCTCAGGATTCTTCTTCTTTTTTAAAAATATTTATTTATTTGTTATGTATACAATATTCTGTCTGTGTGTATGCCTGCAGGCCAGAAGAGGGCACCAGACCTCATTACAGATGGTTGTGAGCTACCATGTGGTTGCTGGGAATTGAACTCAGGACCTTTGGAAGAGCAGGCAATGCGCTTAACCTCTGAGCCATCTCTCCAGCCCCTCAGGCTTCTTCTTAACTCTTATATTAGCCCATTATTATTGTCTATGTTAGGCATGTAGCTCGGTACTTTATTCAGCAAGGCAGTCACTTCTTGCTTCCTCTGAGTCTGGATCACTACTGTAGAATTAAACTTCCCTCTTCCCTGAATTCTCGTTGCCCCTCCTCTACTTCCTGTCTGGCTACCGATCAATTGGCATTTTATTTAAAATTATACAGGTAACAGGATAAAAGACCATTGTCTCACAGCATTTCCCCCACTTTTTTTTTTAAAAAAAAAAACAAGAACGCTGAATGCAATATCTTTTGTTTAGCTTTTCTCCTGACCATTATCCATAAAAACTTGTAACCAACACTCTAAACAGAGGAAAATAAACATAGTCTTATTTTTTGAGAATGTAGGCATAGTCTTTCAGGCTACTTCTTGTTGATTGGGGGCACTGATAATCTTATGGGGACCTAAAAATAATTATAATTATTAGCAAGTCATGATTGGAGTATCCTGTGAGGCTTGATCATCTCAGGCAGCAGTCTTGAACCTGTTCTAGATGTAGAACTCAGACATCTGGGCTCCTATTGGAGATTTCCCCTGGGGGTCTTCCTTGATCAAACCTGATTTTGCTTTCTTCTTTTTTTATTGATTTTTATTGAGTTCTACATTTTTTCTCTTCTTCCTTCCCTGCCTCTCCCCTCTTTCCTTCAACACTCCTCCGAGGTCCCCATGTTCCCAATTTACTCAGATCTTGTCTTTTTCTACTACTCATGTATTTTAGATCTATGTATGTCTCTCTTAGGGTCCTCATTGTTGTCTAGGTTCTCTGGGATCGTGATTTGTGAGCTTTTTCTTTTCCTTTATGTTTAAAAATCACTTATGAGTGAGTATATGTGATAATTGTCTTTTAGGGTCTGGGTTACTTCCCTCAAAATGATGTTTTCTAGCTTCATCCATTTTCCTGCAAAATTCAAGATTTTTTCTGCTCTGTAGTACTCCATTGTGTAAATGTACCACATTTTCTTTATTCATTCTTCGGTCAAGGGGCATTTAGGTTGTTCCCAGGTTCTGGCTATGACAAACAATGCTGCTACACACATAGTTGAGCACATGTCCTTGTGGCACAATTGAACATCTTTTGGATATATACCCAAAAGTGGTATTACTGGGTCTTGAGGAAGGTGGCTTCCTAATTTTCTGAGAAATCACCATACTGACATAAAAAAGAACTGTATCAGCTTGCATTCCCACCAGCAATGCAGAAGTGTTCCCTTTTTCCCACAACCTCTCCAGCATAAGTTGTCATAAGTGTTTTTGATCTTGGCTATTCTTACTGGTGTAAGATAGAATCTCAGAGTTGTTTTGATTTGCATTTCTCTGATGACTAAAGATGTTGAATATTTCCTTAAGTGCCTTTCAGCCATTTTAGATTCCTCTGTTGAGAATTCTCTGTATAGGTCTGTTATCCATTTTTTTTATTGGATTATGTGTTCTTTTGGTGACCAATTTCTTGAGTTCTTTGTATATTTTGGAGATCAGACCTCTGTTTGATGTGGTGTTAGTGAAGATTTTTCCCATTCTGTAGGCTGTCGTTTTGTCTTGTTGACCATGTCCTTTGCTTCACAGAAGCTTTTCAGTTTCAGGAGGTTCCATTTATTAATTGTTTTTCTCAGTGTCTGTGCTGCTGGGGTTATATTTAGGAAGTGGTCTCCTGTGCCAATGCATTCAAGTATACTTCCCACTTTCTCTTCTATAAGGTTCAGTGTGGCTGGTTTTATTGTTGAGGTCTTTGATCCATTTGGACTTGAGTTTTGTGCATGGTGATAGATATGGGTACCGTTCTTTGGCGGTCTGTGAAGAATTTTGCTGGGATTTTGACGGGCATTGCATTGAACATGGTTCTCTCTTAAATGTTTTTATTTTCCTGACATCTCTGGTAATCATTAATTCATCTGTGTATAAAATGAGGACTTGGCTGCTCCAAGCTATGGTTGAGGGGAAGGTTTTTATTGTCAATATGAGGGAGAGTAGAGCCTTGCTTCTTAAATGAGTGCTGGAGAGCCAGACTCTTCTTCACGTGCTCGTGGAGCACATACTTTGTCCACAAATACATCTCCCAGCCCCTAAGTGCTGTAATCTAGATATAAATCCTTCATCAGCGGTGTGATTTTTCCAGTCTTTCTTCTTGGCCCTGAACCTGTTTCATTATGCAGGCAGGATTGATTGTATACACTGAGGAGTTCTATTGACACAGGGAAGGAGATGGACTGTTGGCACTCAGAGAAAGGACCACTGACACATGTAGTAAGTACCATTGACACAGAAGACAACGGTAGGACCATTGGCACATCAAGAGGACCATTGGCAGAGGAGACTATTGGCACATGGAAGTAGGACCATTGCTATGGGAGTGTGGATTTCTA